CCGGCGATGGGGTAGACTGCAGTCCCCTGCTGCAGTGGGCTGCCATAAGCTACGGTGTGTAGCCGGCAGCCAGCGTGAGCGGCCAGCAGCCACTGTGAAACCGGCGACTGATCTGCCTCGCCCGGGAAGAGCACAATGATGGTGCCAACTTGGGCCAGTGAAGCAACGTACTCCACAACTAGACTGAAGAACAAAAGGACAGCAACTTGTCTGTTCCCCTCCCCCAATTCCCCAATAAAATCTTTAAAAAAAAAAAAAAGTGGAGGATCACTGCAGGATTTTAGTCTGAACCATTGAGTGGAAGGCGAGGCCATTGACCAAAAGATGGGAAGGATGGGAAGGATGTAGACCCAGCATTCAGTTTGGGACAGGATGAGTGTGAGATGCCTGCTAGGCATCCAAGTAGGTCACTGCACCCTCAGCACCCTGCTAGCTCAGTAAACGCACATGACACGAATGGACTGCGGCAGGGGAGGCGCGGCCGTGACGCAGCTGGCTGAGCCCCTGCACCTCCGCCCCGCCCCCGCGTCTCCCACTTGGCCTCCCCTCCGCAGGCTCCCGCCCCATCTCCTCCCGCCTCGGTCCCCTTCTTCCTCCGTGAGGATCTGATCCAGCCTGATATCCTGCCCCCCTGGGAACAGAAACGCCAGGCTGTGAAGTCCCCCTGTTCCTCTCCCCAGACAGCAGCGCTGGAGCCCGCCCTTCCTCGCCCCCAAACCCGAATGGCAGCGTCTCAGCGGAAAACGGCGCTCGTCACCATGGCAACACCGCGCCCCAGCCGGGAACGAGCCAGGTACCGGAAGACTGAGCACGGGGCGGGGCCAGTCACAGCCCAAAGTGGGGGGAATGTCAACTCATCGTGCTTGGCTCCCAGGTGCGGAAACCTTGGGAGCCCCCTCCCGGGGAGCTGCCATAGAAAAGGCTGAGGGGCGCGTCTCAGAATTCCTCGCCTCCACTTGCCTCCACATCCATGAATATTTCACGAGGCTGCCCCCTGGAGCCCAGAAGAGCAAAAACACTGTATTGATTTGGGACGGCCCTCACGGCCACCCGCCGGCCTGTGGGACCTCTTAACCCCTCCCCTCTACACACACCCCTTCCACGGTCCTCAGTTTTGGGCGCCGTGGGGCGCACCAAGGACCCGGTCTCCGTTTGTGCTAAGAGCTGAAGATCAACTACTTGGACTTGGGAAAGGGAAGCAGCGGGGAGGGACTCTTGGGGACATGGCCACAGGCCAACTGCAAACCCAGATGGGCCTCGTCCCATTCCTGGCTGCCCTCCCGACCCGAACGATGCCCCCACAACGGGCATTCTCGCCCCGGGTGCGAGGCCTCAGGAAGCCGCAAGGTCATCCCTGTACCTCCTCCACCTTAGGTGGCGCCGCGTCCCGGAACCCGGGCCAGCGCCCAAGCCCACAGCCCCAGGCGGACTCCCATGTCCCGCATCCTACCCTCCGATTAGCCGTGAGCGTCTCTACCGCGCCGCTGCATTCCCAATATTCGAGTCCCAGCAGCCCCGCATCGCAGGCCCGGAGGCCCCGAGCCCCCACTCACGCTCTGGTCGTCGTCCTCGCTCCGCATGTGGTCCGCGATGAAGCGGACGCCATCCACGGCCTCCTGGAGGCTGCAGCCGCACGGCCCCCCGGAGCGCCCCGGGCCGGCGGCGGGCGCGGGCTCTGCCCCAAAGGCCCCCGCCAGGCCCTGGACCGAGGCCCGGTTGACCAGGCACGTGCAGGAGTCGGCGCCGGGCGCTTCGCGGAGGAGCACGGCCCCGCGGCCCTCGCGCCCGTGCTGGCGCCGCCGCTGGCGCAGGCGTTGGCGGGCGCAGTGGTGGCGCGGCCGCTGCATGAAGAGGAAGGTGGGCAGCTTCTCGAGGAAGACGACCTTGACCCAGGGCGCCATGGTGTGCGTGGTGGGTGAGCGGTGATGCACGTTGAGCACGCACACGCTGGTGACGATGGAGAAGGTGACCAGCACCATGGTGAACATGAGGTACTTGCCAACGAGCGGCACGTCGAGGGACGTGGGCGGCACGATCTTGGAGATGAGCAGCAGGAAGACGGTGAGCGCCAGCAGCACGGAGATGCACAGCGTCATCTTCTCGCCGCAGTCGGACGGCAGGTAGAAGACCAGGATGGCCAGCGACGTGATGAGCACGCAGGGGATGATGAGGTTGATGGTGTAGAAGAGCGGCTTGCGGCGGATGATGAAGTCGTAGGTGATGTCCACGTAAGTGGAGTCGTCGGGGTTCTCGTTGCGCCGGCCGGGCAGCGCCACGATGTCCCACTCGCCGCTGGGGGTGAAGTCGTCCAGGCTGGCCACGTCACTCTTGAGCACCAGGTCGATCTCGGTGCGGTCGTAGGTCCACGAGCGGAACTTCATGGTACAGTTCTGCTGGTCGAATGGGAAGTGCTTCACTTCGATCTTGCAGGCGCTCTTGTAGATGGCGGGGGGCAGCCAGAAGATGCCGCCGTCATAGGAGACCACGGCGTTGGAGTAGAAGGACACCTCGTACATGCCATCAGCGCTGCCAGCGGGAGAGCAACGTCAGCCCCGGCCTAAGCCTTCCTCCACCCCCACCCATCCACCCAGAAAAACCCAAGTCTGAGGGTGACCATCCAGGGGTGGAGGGCAATGGAGCAGGAACTGAGCAAGAAGGGGACCTGGGGGAGGCGGGGTTGGTGGGGAGAAAAGGCGTGCTGGTCAGCAGGCCTGTGAAACCCCTCAGCGATGAAGAGGCCAAAGAAGGGAGGGGGGGTTGGGGAGGGGGACACGGCTGCTACTTGTCATGCGTTGTGTAAGCCGGTTGCTTCACACGAGGGTGGAGACGTTCGGGGAGCCAGGGAGGCCAGAGCGAGGTGCCCCAAGCAATGGAGGGGACAGAGACAGGGAGGATCAGGAGATGGTCCCACTCGTGGTTTTGGATCTTCAAGGTAAGAGGGGTTATTTCAGGAGGGGGGTAGAACCTGGAGGGGAAACTGGGACCTCCAGGCTCTTTGATCACATCCAAGCCTCCAGGAAACCTCTTCTTGAATGAATTAATTTAGGCACTGGGGGATGTCAGCCCTTTGCATCCCACTGCAGCTCCAAACATGGGGACTCCTGATTGGCTGGGAGGGGGCTGGCCCTGGGCCAAGTCACCTTGGCTGTCCACCTTATACCTCACTGGTCTGGGTTGTCTGTCCTGGGGAGTGACTGCATCTGTGCCAATGAAAAGTCCCTTCTCTCCCCCCAGCATAAGCTAATGTACTTTTCCCAAGACCCCTTCCCTCCCTGAGCACCGCCATGGTCTCCTCCGGCTTGGCCATTGCTCCAAGGTCACCTACTTGTTGTAGAGGACCACATCTGGGAGCCAGATGTGTTTGGAAGGGAGTCGAACTTTCTTCATGTTGTCAAACTCCTCAGGGTTCCAAGTGAGGCGATAGTCTTCCCACTCCTGGGAAAGGGAGAGAGGGAGGGGGCACCAACCTCTGCCCGGGCAGGGGCTCAAGGTCAAGGGCAGGGACAAGAGGGAGCATTGAAAAGCCATCACCTTCCCACAGTGACTTATCTGCCCAGCAATGGTGGCTCATAAAACACGCTCTCATTTCATTTGCACAACTAAGCCAAGGTATCCGAATATACATTTTACACCAAAGAAAATGGACCTTGCAGAGTTGAACACGTTCAAGTCACAGAACGGGTGAGTGAAAGAACCATGATTCAAATCCAGGTATTTAGGACTCCAGAGTCTACACCTTTCTGCCTCATTTGGGGAGATTAAAAGAAGGAAAATCACGAGGAGGGGAGGGGGAGAGAGAAAGGGGAGGAGCGGAAGGAAGGAAGGAAGGAAAGAAGGAAGGAAGGAAGGAAGGAAGGAAGGAAGGAAGGAAGGAAGGAAGGAAGGGGCAGGAAAGACGAGACCCAGGGTGTGGGCGCGAAGAGTGCTAACCTGGGTCAGCCAGACATTGGTGGTCATGATCTGCTCTCGCTCATGCTGAAAGGAAGAAGAGAAGCTGCTGAGAAGCCCCCCAGCCTGTGGGTCCACCACCACCACCCACGGCCCCTCCCACACCTCCCAAGCCTTGGGAACCCCAGAGGCGTAAGCGCAAACGTGAACACTTTCTGGCTGTGCCAACGTCAGTAGCTGGGCAGAGCGTCTGGGACCCCCAACTCACCACACTGATGAGCTGGGCCAGTGACACCATGAGCTGGACTGTCACCAGCTCAGTGCCATTGGTGGCTGGGCGGATAAGCTTGTTGTAGCGGGAAGGATCTAGAAGATGCTCCACCAGCCGCTCCTCTGTGTCCGTACCCCAGACTCCTGAGCAGGGGAGTGGGGGAAGGAGGTAAGGAGTGTGGGGTAGGCAAGAAGGGCCCACCCAGGATCCCACTCTCCTTAGGCAAGTGGGACAATGCAGGCCCACACAGGAGCCTGTGGCTTCACACAGCTCCATGCCTAAGGAGACAGCAAAATGCTTAGGTTACCCCATGGGGGCCCCCCATAGAGAAGCATCTTCCTGAGCTCACTGACCAAGGAGCCCAGACAGCCCTACACAGATGCCTCCTAAGGAGCCATTCTGCAAGATTTGTGGAGACCCACTCTTCGTGCAAGCTCTCAGAGCATGGTTTCAAGATCCTTGAGAATTCTGTGTCTATGGCTTCTCCTAGAAGATTCTTACAATTCAGGGATGGTTTGGGGGGCTGGTCCAAGGGGAACAGTTATTCGTGTCCCACCACACATCCTTCCCCCTCGGTCAGTGCCCATCTGTGTGTGCGAGTCACATCATGTGCCTCCACATGGGACTGTGGCCGTGACCCAACCCCCACCCTCAAAGGCCCTGGGTTGGAGTAGAATCATCGGGCTGCCTAGGCTGTGGGTCAGGCATATATTTAGTCCCACGTTCCACATATACAGGCGCGCCCTCCCCTCATGAGATAACATGCAGGTTGGTAGGCTCATTAGGTTGTACATTCCGTTTGCACCTGCCCCTCATACACTCCACCTCCTGCGACTCTGTACAAACGCAGCCCACCCCTCAGAGAGTTCCTCCCTGGCCCTCAGCCTGGCAGCATGTCTTCCCTTCCACGTCTCCTGTCCCACTTCTCTTCCTTCCTGTCTTGCCCCTGTGGAGTGACCAGAATCAGGAGCCCAGTGTGGGGGATGGGAAATGATGGCGACCCAAGGGAGGGTGCTGACCCAGGTAGGTTTCTCGAGATCATGTTTCACAACAAGTCAAATGGCAGCCGCAGAGCCTGCCCTCCTGCCGCCCTAGAAAGCCCGGGGCTTTCCCTCCTTCCTTTCTGTGCCCACACCCTCCCCGCCACATTGCCCAAGTTGCTGTCTCTTCCTGGCATCACGTAGCCCTTAGGATATGTCCTCCTCCCAGCTCAGTCTCCCAGGGGCAACCTACAGGCCCAAGGCTCCCTCCCTTCCGCCTTTGCGCCTGACCAGGGTGACACAGAGCGCGGTGACCTGTCATTACCTGAGCACAGCCCGAGGAGGCCGAGGCCGAGGAGCAACGCCATGGGGCCGGAGCGCCTGGCCATGCTGCTGGCATAGCTCGCGGCCTCGCCTAGACCCGCCGGAGCGCGCCGCGGGCCTGAGGGCCGCGGGCGGGGCGCTGTCCGTGGTGCTGAAGCCGCGCCTGGCTGGGAACTGGGCCCGGGCGGTGCTGGAGGCCTTCGGGGTTGCGGTGCGGGACGCCGCGGTGGTTCCGGAGCTCAAAGAGCGGGCTGCGAGAAGGAACCAGCTTCTCGCTTTTCCCGGTCTGAGCAGGCGGAGGCTTTTCCGGCCGCTCTTCCAGGGAATACAATTGGGACGGTGGCGGGGAGGAGTCTCCGCCCCGGAGGCGGAAGCGCCGGGCCCCAGAAAGAATGGGTCTCTGGGTGGGACGGTCTTGTGCTGGTCCTGCTTAGTTAGGGGGCGTGTGACGCGGAAGAAAGGCGGCTCGCGGGGCGGTGGAGGAGTTCTGAAGCCCCGAAGTTGGGGCAGGACCTGGAGGTCGTCTGAGAAGGGGCGGGAAGAAACAGTGCGAGTAAGGCAAATAGGTTAGCACCTGCTTAGTACAGAGGGACCCGGGGCCAGCCGAGGGGGGCGGAAGTCGGGAGGAGTTTCTGGGGCCCCGCCCTCCTTTTTTTTTTTTCTTACCAAGCCTAAATGATCCTGCCTCTCTCAGCTGCACAGAGACTTGGGGCTGTGGGTTTACTATTTTAAGAAAACAAACAGCTTTGGGGTCTGGAAACATTCCCCTCACCTGTTCCCGTCTTTATCTCCACAAACTCCCTAAAAGGCCAAGCTTCCTGTCCGCCCCCAACGGGGTCTAAGGTGGGGACTTCTGGACATAGCCTGAAAAGAAGGTAACCTTGAAGGTCTTGAAGGGTGGAAGGGTAAGTGGCTCTTATCAACCAGCCTTTCTCACCCCCATTCCCTTCCACTCCAGTCTTTGGCTTCTGTGTGACAAGGGGGATCAGAGGACCATTTCACAGAAGCCAGCCCAAGAATTAAGCTGACATAAAGGAGCACAAAGATGACACAGAGAGAGAGAGAGAGAGAGAGAGAGAGAGAGGGGTGTCAAAATTCAATGACATCTTTGATCTTGAAAGCCCTGAACTTTCAGCTTCTGAGCCAATAAAGGCTTCCTTTCTTCTTAGGTGGATTTTTGGTCACTTTTAACCAAAAGAGTCCTGCCTAAAGCAGCCTATCATACATCATACATCTTATTCCATCTCTGCCTAATTCTTCAACCTCATCTGGGCCACTACCCCAGCTCCACACTTCAGCTATTTGCAGTGTCTTTAAGATCCTTGAACATTCTGTCCCTCCCATCCTCCACACTTCGGGGCCTTTTAAACACAGTTCCATTGGCTCTTTGGTCACCATTACCACTCAACCACCTTCTTAACTTTGAATGTCTGGCAGAAATGTCAGTTCCTCAAGGAAGCCGTGCCTGACCAAAGATTAGGTCAGGTGCCCTGCTATATGTTTCCAGAGGATGTCTGATGAGTAAATGAATCGGTGTAAAGCTGTGGCTGCCTATCCTACTAGATCGTGAACCAGCACAATGCCTGGCATATCGTGAGAGCTCAAATAATAAGGAAAAGGACTGATATCTTTTAATGTTTAAGGGGAAATTCCTCTCTAAAAGCTCAGCTAAAAGCAACTTTTTTTTAAAAAGATTTTTATTGGGGAATTGGGGGAGGGCAACAGCGCTGGGGAATTGGGGGGAGGGGAACAGACAAGTTGCTGTCCTTTTCTTCTTCAGTCTAGTTGTGGAGGACGTTGCTTCACTGGCCCATGTTGGCACCATCATTGCGCTCTTCCCGGGTGAGGCAGATCGGTCGGGGGCTTCTGGATGGCCGCTCACTGGAGCTGCTGGCCGCTCACGCTGGCTGCTGGCTACACACGGTAGCCCATGGCAACCCACTGCAGCAGGGGCTGCAGCCTACGCAATCACCGATGACTCATGGAAGCCCAGCTCCAGGTTGAGCTGTTGTTCAGCATCTTAGCTGTAGAGGGCGGTGTCACTGGCCCTCATATGTAGGATCCGAACAGGGGCCCTCTGGCGTCCCAAGCCAGCTCTTAACCAATGCGCCACTCAGCCGGCCCACAACTTATTTTTTTAATTGTAAAACTAAAAATTTTTTTATTTTTCTATTACAATTGGCATATAATATTGTGTTAGTTTCAAGTGTACAAAACAGTGATTAGACATGTATATAACTTACAAAGTGATCACCCTGGTAAATCCAGTACCCATCTGACACCACACAGTAATTACACTACTGCTGACTATATTCCGGATGCTGTACTTTATATCCCCTTAACTATAAATTGACTACCAATTTGTACCTCTTAATCTCCTTTCCCCTTCATGCATCACTCCCAACATCCCGCCCAATCCCACAACCATCAAAATGCTCTCTGTATCTATGAGCTTATTTCTGTTTTGTTTGTTCATTTTTCCTGTTCTTTAGATTCAACATATAAGTGAAATCTTATGGCATTTGTCTATCTCAGACTTATTTCACTTCGCATAATACCCTCTAGGTCCATCCATGTTGTTGCAGATGCCAAGATTTCATTCTTTTTTATAGCTGAGTAATATTCCGTTGTATAAATGTACCACCTCTTTATCCACTCACCCAGTGGTGGACCCCCATGTTGCTGTCACATCTTGGCTATTGTAAATAATGCTGCAATGAACATATGGATGCACATGTCCCTTTGAAGAAGTGTTTTAGGTTTCTTCAGATAAGTACCCAGAAGGGGAATTACTGGGTCCTTCTTTGTCTCTTGTTACAAACTATTTTAAAGTCTGTTTTGTCTGGTATAAGTATTGCTACCCAACATTTTTTTTTTTCATTTCCATTTTCATGAAATATCTTTTTCCATCCCTTTACTTTCAGTCTGTATGCATCTTTTGATCTGAAGTGAGTCTCTTGTAGGCAGCATATGTGAGAGTCTTGTTTTTTTTAATCCATTCAGCCACCCTATTTCTTTTGATTGGAGCATTTAATCCATTTACATTGAAAGTAACTGTTGATAGATATGTAGTTATTGCCATTTTATACTCATATTTTCTTATTTTTTTCATCTTAAAGAAGTCCCTCTAACATTCCTTGTAATACTGGTTTGGTGGTGATGAACTCCTTTAGCTTTTTCTTGTCTGGGAAGCTGTTTATCTGTCCTTTGATTCCAAGTGATAGCTTTGCAGGGTAGAGTAATCTTGGTTGTAAGTCCTTGCTTTTCATCACTTTGAATATTTTTTTCCCTCACTTTGAATATTTTGTACCAGTCTCTTCTGACCTGCAAAGTTTCTGTTGAGAAATCAGCTGACAGTCTATGGGAGCTCCCTTGTAGGTAAGTAACTGCTTTTATCTTGCTGCTTTTAGTATTCTCTCTTTGTCTTTGACCTTTGGCATTTTAATTATGATGTGTCTCCATGTGGGCCTCTTTGGATTCATCTTGTTTGGAATTCTCTGTGCTTCCTGGGCTTGTATGTCTATTTCCTTTGCCAGGTGAGGGAAGTTTTCCATCATTATTTCTTCAAATAAGTTTTCAATTCCTTGCTCTCTCTTCTCCTTCTGGCATCCCTGTGACGCGCATGTTGGTATGCTTGATGTTGTCCCAGAGGCCCCTTAAAATATGCTCATATTTTTTCATTCTTTTTTCTTTCTGCTGTTCTGATTGGGTGCTTTCTGCTACCTTATCTTTCAAATTGCTGATCTGATCCTCTACTTCATCTAATCTACTCAATTCCCTCGCATGTGTTCTTCATTTCAGTAATTGTATTCTTCATTTCTGACTGGTTCTTTGCTATGTTTTCTATCTCCATTTTTATGTTTCCTATCTTTTTGTTGAAGTTCCCACTGATTATCATTGAGCACCTTTTTTTTTTTTAAGATTTTTTATTGGGGAATTGGGGGGATGGGAACAGTACTGGGGAATTGGGGGAAGGGGAACAGACAAGTTGCTGTCGTTTTGTTCTTCAATCTAGTTGTGGAGGATGTTGCTTCACTGGCCCAAGTTG